TAAGAAGGATTTTAGTGAAAGAAACTATTGAGGTGCAACCAGGTCAAGAAACGCTTGCGCAAGGTGAGATCGCCAACTGTGTGGACGAGATGACGGGTACTGCCATAATCGAACCAGTTGCAGGCGGAGGCGAATTGGCTCGCCATGGGCTGGTGTTGGCAAGGTCCCTTGTCACTGCAGAGGCAGATGTTTTGCCACTGAGGTTGTTTAACCCGGGGAACAACAAGATAACACTTCGTCGGGGAACAATGGTCGGGATGATCTCACCAGCGGAAGTGCATGAAAGTGGGGAAAGGACAGAGAATAGTGGAAACGGTGAAGTTCCTTCATACCTACAAGACTTGTTGCAACGAAGCCTGAGCAACATCGATCCGAAATATCACCAAGCTATCAAACAGTGCCTCGTGGATTTTCAAGATGTATTTTCTTCTGGAAGTCACGATTTGGGCCGGACCAATGCTGTCAGACACCACATCGAAACCGGCAATTCAAGACCTATAAGACAACGCCTTCGACATCACCCTATCGTCAATCAGCAAGAGATTGATCGCCAAGTCAAATCATTAGTGCAAGAAGGTCTCATCGAACCTTCCGATAGCCCCTGGGCAGCCAATGTAGTGCTTGTGACTAAGAAGGACGGTACAAAACGGTTATGTGTAGATTACCGCGGCCTGAATGTAGCAACTGTAAAAGACGCCTACCCTGTCCCCCGAATAGATGAGACCTTGGATGCACTAGGCGGGGCCAAGTGGTTTTCAACCTTAGATCTAGCTGCAGGCTATTGGCAAGTTGCCCTTGATAATGAAGCTCAAGACAAATCATCTTTTGTGGTTCGCGGTGGCCTATACAAGTGGAAGGTAATGCCATTTGGGCTGTGTAATGCCCCCGCAACTTTCGAGAGGTTGATGGAGAAAGTGATGGCTGGTCTACAATGGGACATATTGCTCATCTATTTGGATGATGTAATAGTGTTCGGTCGGACAGTTGATGAGCAAATCGTACGACTTCGCACAACATTGGCGCGGCTCCGGGAAGCCAATTTGAAATTGAAACCATCCAAGTGCAATTTGTTTCAACAGTCGGTGAAATACCTAGGTCACATCGTGTCTTCAGAAGGAATCACAACCGACCCTGCCAAGGTCGAGACCATTCGGAATTGGCCCAATCCCACATGCAGCAAGGATGTTCGAAGCTTCTTGGGGCTTGCATCCTATTACCGCAAGTTCATTCGCGGGTTCGCATCCATCGCATCACCACTTCATGAACTGACTGAGAAGGCTAGGCGTTTCGAGTGGAATGACGAATGTCAAAGAGCTTTCGAAGAGTTGAAGGAGTGCCTTATCCAGGCTCCGATCCTAGTATGTCCCTTACCAGAGGGGGATTTCCTGCTTGACACTGATGCCAGTCAGAATGGTATAGGGGCTGTGTTGTCCCAAATTCAGGAAGGCGAGGAAAAAGTAGTCGCTTACGCAAGCAAGAAGCTATCGAGGGCTGAGAGGAACTACTGTGTGACCCGTCGCGAGCTGCTAGCAGTTGTGTTCTATTTGAAATACTTCAAGCAGTATCTCTACGGTAGGAAGCTGACCGTTAGAACAGACCACGCTTCTTTGCAGTGGCTCCTCAACTTCAAAAATCCAGAGGGCCAATTGGCACGTTGGATCGAGGTTATCGCAGCATACAAACTGACAATACACCATCGTCCAGGAAAGAAACATGTGAATGCCGACAGTCTGTCCAGAAAACCATGTTCTCAGTGTGGCCTTGTTGATGACACAAGTGACGGCGAAGACACATCTACAGAGACAGATACTCCCTCCGAGCAAGTCCAGTTCCATTGTAGGGCAATTATTGCCTTACCTGGGGTCACTCGAGAGGCCTTAAGAGAAGGCCAGTTGGAAGATGATAGTATGAGCTGGGTATTGAAGGCTAAGGAAGGAAGAAGCTGTAGACCAGATTGGGAAACAATAGCCAACTCGACAGCTGCAAAGAAAACGTACTGGGCTCAGTGGGACCAATTGGATTGCAAGCAAGGAGTACTATGCAGAAAATGGGAGACGTCGGATGGGGCATGCGTGAAATGGAAGGTTATCCTGCCACGGAAGTACCGAAAAGAATACCTAGAAGCAATCCATGGGGGTACAATAGGAGGTCATCTAGGCGTTACCAAGACATTGTCAAACGTAAAACAGAGGGTTCATTGGTCAGGCATGTCAGGAGACGTGAGGTCATTCATCCGGTCGTGTGACCTGTGCGCCAGAAGAAAATCCCCCTCAAAGAGGGCACGTGCTCGACTTCAACAGTACGAGGTGGGAGAGCCAATGGAAAGAGTAGCAATGGACCTTGTCGGGCCTTTACCCAAGACCATCCATGGGAATCAGTGGATCCTTGTAGTAGGGGATTATAAGAGCAAATGGATGGAAGCGTATGCGCTTCCGGATGCTCGAGCTACAACAGTGGCCCAAAAGTTTGTCGAAGAATTTGTGTGCCGTTTTGGTGTCCCTCGTGAACTACATACCGATCAAGGAACTAATTTTGAATCGCAGGTGTTTGCAGAGATGTGTTCCCTGTTGGGCATTCGAAAGACAAGAACAACAGCTTACAACCCGAAATCAGATGGGCTCATTGAGAGGTTCAACAAAACCCTCATCAATATCACCGCCATGCTCATCGAGCAGTCAAAGAAGTCTAGGGAATGGGATGAGTGCTTGCCATATGCAACTAGCGCATATCGCTGTACTGCACAAGAATCCACGGGAGAGTCACCCAACATGCTCATGCTCGGGAGAGAAGTGACGCTTCCAATAGACCTGACTATGGAGAATCCAAAGTATCCTAGCTGTGATGAACCAAAAACAGACTACGCTGAAAAGCTACGCCAGAATCTACAACAAGCTCACGAACGGGCTAGCGAGTGTCTTAGGAAGAGTGCCAGGCGTCAGAAACGCAATTATGACAGGAAAGCTACCACCACTAATCTCAAGGAAGGACAGTTTGTTTGGTTATATGATCACAGCAAGAAGAAGGGGGTTTCCCCGAAATTACAGCTGCGATGGATGGGTCCTTACCTAGTGGTTACGAAGATCTTAGATGTTACGTTTCGGATTCAGCTGAGTCGCCGATCGAAAGCAAAGGTAGTACATGTAGATAGGCTCAAGCTGTACACTGGTGAAGATCTTCTTGCATGGGAGTATCGCCTTAGAGTTCCTGAGGAGGAATTTCCCTTTGCTGATTCTCCTAATCTTTCCCCTGAGGTCATACCAGAAGAGATCAGCCCTGCCAGTGATGAAACTTTGTCAGATGATCATCAACCCCAGCTTGATGAGACCCCTGCTGATGACCAACCCCAGCTTGATGAGAACTTGCCTGATGATCATCAACCCGGGTTCGATCTTCCCACTGATCTACCTCAGACTCCCGTGATTGAGAGTCGCTATCCCAGAAGAAAACGAAAACCACCAGATTTCTTTTATTAAATAAGAATTATCGACATAAATAATTATTTGTGTTTTGTTCTTCACAATTGCAGAATAATGTCTGAGGAGTGGAAGAAACCAGAGGACTTGGATGGGGACCGGCTTTACAAGTGCCGAGAATGTCTTTCCACGTTCTTGTACCACCGCAGCCTGATGCGCCATATCGGGGAGAACCATCGGGATGGATCCCGGAAGTGGAACTGCAAGACCTGCGATTATTCCTCTACCAGGCGGGGGAATTATGAAAGGCACGTGGACGGACACCGAAAGGACGAACAGCGCACGGTTTCCAGAAGAGAGTCGAGCAAAGAAAGAGAACCGGTGGGCCGGGGCGGTGAAAGGGCAAAATCCCCAGATCGACGTTGTCCGGAGACGAAGAGAGACGACAGAGACCAGCCACAGGAAAACAACACAGCCATTATAAGTGTACATCCAACTCCAGTGCCTAGTATTGATTCTTCCAGAGATGCCAGAGGCAAGCCTCTTGCCATGCTTAAGAGAGCCGCATCCCAGGATGGGGTGGTTTCGTCATCGTCATCAGCATCATCTTCGTCGGAAGAAGCTGAGAGTGGAGGAGAGGGTGCCACTGGAAATGCGCGTACAGACAGACCGGTTTTCAAGAAAGCGAGAGTTGAGAAGAGGATTACGACGACCTTTACTATTGAAGGACGCGTAGTTCGTACGAGAAAGACGAAGGAGTTCTTCGACCGCTTCATACTTGTTTAAGTTAACACTAAGTCTTACTGGTTTACTTGATCTGTTTTGATTACAACTATAGGCCTCAGTTTACAATTTGCTTAAATCAGGTAGGCCTACTAGAGGTCAGGTTTTTTTGTTGTTGTTGTAACTTAAGTATTACTAGTGATCTTACGAGAAAAGTGTTTTGATATTCTTTACATTTCCAAACGTATTTTGGACATTGTTGATCAATGTCTTTGTATTTGTGATTACTTGTGTTATATAATTATATATCTATAAAAATAACAGGAAGAAGAGAAAAAGGCAAATGTGTAGCTTATTACGTTGATTTGCTTGGACTTTCTTATAGATTGGTTAGGAAAACAAGAATTAATAGTAAAAACCGTTTTACATGTTTTTAATGCCTATATTGTTGAGCTATGTTTAAAATGTCGTTTCGGTAGGTTTAGAACGAGGACGTTCTAGTCCAAGTGGGGGGTTGTGTGACGGAATGTTACAGTGTTTAACCTGAAGAGGGCGACATTTTGGTCAGATTGATATAAGTGATTTGATAACGCTGCGAACGGGCAGTCCGTGTTTTGTATTGATGCAGTAAGGAATGCAGTAAAGTAAGCTGAAAGATCAAACATCATTGTAAGTTGTCGTTATTTGTCTCGGATATTACTTTGATTGAAGTGATTGATGAATGCATGATTGAGATCCTCGTTGAATAGTTGTGAGTTGTGAGAGTCGACTGTCTGGGAGAGTTGACTGATTTATAAGACGAGACCTGGTTCGTGTCGTTCGGAATTGCTACCAAGTTCATGGAACCAGATCTCGTCACAATACTCACATTGAGACAAGGTTATCCAGCCCATCAAAGGCTCCATCATCAACTGATGAAATATTGTTGTTATTCATGTTCCTAAGAAACAAATCACACCACATTAAACAAAATATAAAATTGTGTTAAATGCCGCACAAAATGAGGGCTCACATTACAATCATACACTGTTACCCTTGAAGTTGGAATGATTTTTCCTCAGAACGTTACCGTCCAAAGTAAAGAGTCGTAGCAGTTGATCAGTAACGTTTTGAGAAGATATAAACTAAAGTATCAAGAATAAATCTTACTCTTACAATCATTTCATGAAAAGAGATAAGAAAAATAAATTCCTTCTTTTTGGGAACAAATGTACGATAATGAGAGAGAAGATACAGCTAGAAACATGATAACAACGTTCATTTCCACATGCTTATAAATGATAGATTAAATCAGAAAAAAGTAAGGTTATGGTCTTCACATAAACATTTTTATTAAATTGAAAGGTCTGTACTGGAGCGTTCTAAGGAGTCTCGACCCAAAATGCAGTAGAGTATATATGCATGCATACAGTACCTGCACAATGTGAATCAATTACTTTATCATTATTTATTATTATTATCATTATCATCTTTATCATCATTATGAAGATTGATTTCATTCACAAACAAAAAGTTACTTACAATTCTCTGAGATTGGTTAAGGGACTCAGTAATGTGGATGCGATCTCAAGAATCTGGTTGTTCTGAAGGTTGCTACAAAGAGGAAAAAAACATAGCAAAAATGATAAAGTCATAAACAAAGGGACTACAGATGGTTCCGTCCACAAATCTTCTGAAATATGCTTCTATAGAATGTCTGATAACATCACAAAATATGTGTATGCTACTACCATCCATTTAAAGATTGATGAAGAAAGAGATCCAAACTATAAATATATATATATATATATTCGACAAGCACCATGTAAAACATGAGCACTAAGAGAAACTTGTTAAAAACCATCATAATTCGATATCGCTACAGAAAAAGAATGCTATATAATTCTCTTAGTATACACCAAATTTACTGATTAGTCTATGTTTACCTCATACAAGAGAGAAAAGAAAAAAGTGAAGGAAGGAAAAGATGAAGAAGGAGGAAAAAACAACATAATTTACTTACATATTTTGAGTACTGGTAAGTGAATGAAAAGCATCAGGGAATAAAGTAATGATCAGGTTGTGCGAAAGATCCAGGTAATACATCGACTGTGTCGAGAGAGCAATTGTTGGAAAGGCTGTCAGCTTGTTGTTGGTCAGGTAGCTAGGGATAAGGAAATAATTAATATTCAAATCGGCAATGTAAGGCGGACAAAGGAGTCACATAAACTTGTCCGCTGAAGGTCATAAGGGTGTTAGCTCTGCGTTGATGGATGAAATCAAACTTTATTCCCTTCTCCAGGCTCTCAAAAGATTTAAGATGATCTGGAAATAACCACCCGCATATGAACAAAACTATCCAAAGATCTCAAGAAATCAACATCCCCTTTAAAAATATGCAATGCTTTAATGATTAAATTCTGAAGTTAAGTCATCATTTACATCCAATGGACATGTACGACTAATTGTCCTGTATGACTGATAGACGTGTACGAGAAATGGACCTGTACGACTAAAGGACCTGTGCGACTAATGGTCCTGTACGGCTAATGGACATGTACGGCTAATGGACCTTTATGACTAATGGACCTGTACGACTAATGGACAAGTGCGACTAATGGACAAGTGCGACTAATGGATGTGTAGGACTAATGGTCCTGTACGACTAATGGACCTGTATGACTAATGGAAAAGTGCGACTAATGGACGTGTACGACTAATGGACGTGTACGACTAATGTACCTGTACGACTAATGGACCTGTACGACTAATGGACAAGTGCGACTAATGGACGTGTATGACTAATGGACCTGTACGACTAATAGACAGGTGCGACTAATGGATGTGTACGACTAATGGACCTGTACGACTTATGGACAAGTGCGACTAATGGACGTGTACGACTAATGGTCCTGTACGACTAATGGTCCTGTACGACTAATGGACCTGTAGGACTAGTGGTCCTGTACGACTAATGGACGTGTGTGACTGATGGTACTGTACGACTAATTCACCTGTACTACTAATGGATCTGTACGACTAAGGACATGTACGACTAATGGACCCGTCTTATTGATTATCATACACACATGATGCAGAAAGTTAATATTGCATTTTTTACTTCAGACTGTATATGCCTCAAGATTTGAAATCTATTTCCTTTAAAATATTTTCTATCAAAATATCATATGTTTTGCTTTATATACTTTACTTAAGAAATCCAGCCATCTGATTGGTCGAAATTGCATTCATAAACTTTAACTGTTCCCGAAAATTCCCAGTAACCATGGTTAAAACAGTTCTAAAATCCCAATAACCATGGTTACCGGGAAAATAGTTCAGTCTCCATGGTTACCCCATAGGTTTACATGTTAAAAAATGGTCTGAGCGATCGAGGATACCGTACGTGTGCGAAGAATTGGTCGGTAATTTCAATACAATTGAATCTCGATCGATCTTACCAACAATTTTATCTTGCATTGTTGACATGAAGACGAAAATAAACTTCCAAAAAAAAAAAAAAAAAACATCTGCCGATAGATCTTGATCTAAGTTCGTGCCAATATGCATTGCAAAAGTAAAAGAAGGGCCTGTTTAATGGAGCAGCGGCGAAGCATCGACCACGCGAAGCCGTTTTCAATCAATTTTATTGTATATATTAAAGAAAACTGCTATATATGGTGACAGAGCGCGCTGGCCGAGCGGTTTAAGGCGCTGATTTTAATTACGTTACCTTTTGTACGCAAGAGATCGAATCCCATCTTCGACAAAAGTTTTTTTATTTTTTATTTTTTAGTCTATTTTTTTTCGGCATATAAAAGTATTAATGACTGCTTTAATATTCGAGAAATAGTTGTTTTTATACGCTCTCGGGAAGGTTACAATTGGGCTATTGCCCTCGGCACGCCTCGGGTAATAGCACAATTCTAACCTTCCCTTGAGCGTATAAAAACAACTATTTCTCTCAAAGCAGTCATTAATAATATATTATTTCACAATCAAGAGTAATTAATGACGGTTCCAATCATGAAGTTACGCGTGTATTTGCTCTCCTGGAGATGATTTTAAAGACAAATTAAAATTAAAAATACACATACAAACTTGAAGATGAACTTACATCCTATTTGCAGAGACGTCTTCAAAGACATTTGTAGGAAGAGATGCAATCAGGTTATCATTCAGATGTCTGCAAAAGAGAGATGATATATGAGGGATAATTAGGTGAAAAATCTCTTCATCCTTCTCCCTTTCCTTCTCTCCCTCCCCCTCCCTCCCCCTTCCCCCTCCCTCCCTCCCCTCCCTCTCCTCCCTCCCTCTCTCCCTCCTTATCTCCCTCCCTCTCTCCCTCCCTTTCTCCCTCTCCCTCCCTCTCCCTGTCCCTCTCTCTCCCTATCCCTCTCCCTCCCTCCCTCTCCCTCTCTCCTTCCTTCCCTCCCTCTCCCTCCCTCGCCCTCTCTCTCCCTCTCCCTTCCCCTCCCTTTTCCTCTCTCAGCTACAGCCATTCATATTAATAATGTTGTTACCCTCGGTAGCCTGAGCAACATTAATGTTTTTCTTCCTGAAGACCCCCGAATATTTTTACCCCAGCAATTGAGAGTTGCAAATGTGATTTAATGTCTTGCCAAATGACGTTAGTGCTGGGTTTGGAATTGAACCCACAAACCTTGGATTGAGGGGCGAGTAAATGAACCACTATACCATGACTCTTCCGCATCTCCCAATTTATAGTGAGAAGGTTTCAATTTCTTTTTTACCAAGCAGTAATAGCATTCTGCTGTGAGGGACATGTTGGGTGGTTCAGTAGACAGGTGGCCTGGGGGTTGTTTCACAAATATCTGAAGTTGAACATATCTTTAAGTCGGACGTAACAAATATGGGAAGTCATTAGCATCTATGAAAATATTTTGTAAAAGTTTTTTTAAAAGGCATAAAATGTTGTTTCAAAAAGTTCATAAAGAATTTATAAAAAGTCGAAATACTTAAATTTCGCTTTTGAATATACTTTATTTTAAGGCTACAATGACACTCCATAATTTTTAAGTCTAACTTAGAGTTAAGTTCGACTTAGGATCTTTGTGAAACACCCCCAGGTTTAGTTGATAGGTCACCGAACTGTGGTGGTTCACATGGTACAGGGTTTGAGCCCTGCCAAACCACTAATGTCCTTTGGCAAGATATAAGTCTACATTTCCCTCTCTCCACCCAGGTGTAGTAAATGGGTACTTGGTAGAAATGTATTCCTTGAATGCTTAAAGTGCCTAAGGGCAGCTAGGCTAAAGCAAGGGTACTACTACTACTCAGCAGGTGCATTGAGCATCCCCTTGGGAAGGAAACCTGCACAATATAATGTAGCTACTATCATTACTATTATTACTATTATTATTATTTTCGTACTTACATCTCATCTGCCGAGCTTGTTCCTCCAAACATCTTTCCTTCTAAAGTATCAAGCCCGTTATTTTCAAGATGCCTGAAGAGGAATTAGGAGAAATTATGAATATTCAAATAAAAAAATAAAAATACAGACATGGTTTCATTAGGAAGCAGAACATTTGCCCTTCATTCTATAATATCTTTGATTTGTATTTCTTAGTCTCTCTAATTTTTTCTCCATATGGTAAGTAGACAATATATCTTGTATACCGTAGAATATTTTGATATACGGCATGCAAACGTATACAAGCCTAGACCTAGCCTTTTAAATACCTGCCTTTTTCCGATTTTATTTTTATCTAGTAACTTTTTTGTTTGTTTGTTTGTTTTACTTTCATTTTCTTAAAGCTATTGCTTTTTGTATATATATTTTGCATCCATCAATATTTTTTACTTTTTAAACTTTTTTGGGGGTAATTGAAAATAAAGACGAATTGAATTGAATCGAATATCTGAAGCTTAATTCTACGCCACATTTTCTAACAACTATCTCGTAATACATAAATATTATATTATATACATGCTTTTACTCACAGATCGTAGGAGACAGTGACATCGTAGAATGCTTCATCGGCAATGAAACTGATCTGATTGTTATTCAAGTACCTGGAATTGCCACACACACAAAAATAGAATACAAAGACAAGCACAATCTAAAGCAAAAGATGGACGATCAAGACACATTCTTTCTCTGACTCTGTCTCTCTCATTTTGCCTGAGTGACTGAGTCACACCTTTGCGTACTTGACTTGCGTATTGCTGCGTATTTGTGGCAAGCCGTTTTAACATTTATTCCTATTTTCTTGATATCAAGAAATGATTTTCTGTTGGAAAGCAATGGTAATTCTTGATATCAAGTATTCTTTTTTTATATCAAGAATTCAATTCTTAAAATCAAGAAAAAGGAATAAATGTTAAAACGGCTTGCCATAAATGCACAGCAATACGCAAGTCAAATACGCAAAGGTGTGACTCAGGCGTTAGGGGAAAACACTCCGTTTCTCAGACTAGAACATTAAAGAGAGGCCCCGTGTGTAGTATAGTAATTCCCTATGCACCTTGATATGCTATACTTCAAAGAGTACGGTGTGAACCTGGGGGTGTTTCACAAAGATCCTAAGTCGAACTTAAAGGGAGAGTTGAGTTCTGTTTTCAGACCGCAAATGCCTTCAAAGTGCATGGTTATTTCTCTTATTCTTATCTGTGACATTTATAGTGCCTTTTTAGAACCTAAAATTGCTATGAAGGTAATTTTAGACCCCAAAACGTGTGAAATTTAGCCAATACGATGATACCAATTCAGCTCCACTTTAAAAAAACACGGTGGCCGTTAATTAATTATTTAATTAAAAATAACAATGCATGAGCAAGGTAATTGTGGGTAATATAAGCAACACAAACATGCCAACAAAAAAACCAACATCGACATTGGCTGAAATACGACGTAAAAGGCGTTATTTCAGGTTTTTTAACGGTTTTTTCAAATTTTTCAAAATATCTAATATTTGTGGTGGTACACAAGTATAGAAAACGTTATATTTCAGCCGTCTCGGAACCGATTTCGATCAAACAAAGATGATTTTGTCATTTAAATATGTTCTTTCAAATTTGACACTCATTTTTTTCATTATCTCACAAAAAAAATTATTTTGTGTAGCGCCCTCTGCAACAGAACTCAACTATCCCTTTAACTCTAAATTGGACTTATTACAGAGAGCCATTTGTAGGCTCAAAATTAAATTATTCAAAAGCGAATATTGAAGTTTTTTAGACTTGTTATAAATTCAACATCAAGAACATGAAATCTCCTTGATAACAAAAATATGAATGATTTGGATCGACATTTTATCCTTTTTAAAATAACTTTTACCAAATATTTTCATAGATACTAACGGCTTTCCAAAATGTTTAAGTCCAACTTAGAGATAAGTTAAACTTAGGATCTTTGTGGCTGCATAAAAAAACTGGAAATCTTTCTACATATATTTTGGTGATGTGCTGCATATTTAGCCCTTTGAAGATAACAATAGAAGACCAAATGACCCTTTTCATACTTACAAGTAACCTGACACATGCAAGCCATAGAACACATGCGTTGTGAGTGATGTCAGCTGCATACTGCCAAACGACCTGCAGTAAAGTTCAAAGGTGATCAATAGGTTATGAATTAATCATTTAGTCTGGTCCAAACTTTGCAGGTATTTCTCGTCATATTGTGAATATGAGAGTATTTGACAAGCAATCCTTTTCAGGAGACATTTCTACCATGATATTCCTCCATACCTGCCAACCTTTCAAAGCATGAATTAGGAATCCCTCAGGAAAAATTAGGAATACAGTCATTTTGTATAATTTCTACACAGACATTTCAGAACAAGAAAGGAATCTAGGATTCATAACATTAGATTGAGGGCCAAAAAAGGGAATGGTAGGCATTCTTGATGTTCTTGATGTAAACGGAACGAGGAAGCGCACGAATAATATTCCAAACAAATTACTTTCTCTTTAACACACAAAACGTCAAATGGATTTATGAACTTTATCCTGAAAGCCTATCTGAATTAGTTTGGCCAGGAGGGATTATACGTCCCTATTTGGTAACTGACATGTGGTTATATCATCGAATCAGCTCTCAATTAAACATAAGAAAAAGTGGACCATGGGTGATCAACGGTCACCGCTAAGACATTGTTTGCTAAAAAATCTAAAGGGCGCAAGTAGCTATAAGTAGTGCAGCTGGGCTTAAACGGGAAATGAAAATCAAACATTTTTGTGACAGCCTTACAAAAAATTGTGAGCCAGTTAAACACATCTTTATATTACTCATAATGGAGTGCTTAGAAAGGAAAACAATCTCTCCAAACGTTGCCATTTTCTTGTAAGCCATTTTCCCATAGCAGCCGCCATTTCTATTACAATGGCGCAAACCTTTGAGAAGTTTTTTTCCTTGCTAAGTTCTCCAATAGGAGTATTTTCTAGATATTTTTAACTGGCTCACAATTTTTAAATAAGGCCATCAGCTAAAGTTTGTAGGGTTTCATTTTCCATTAAAGCTTATCTGCCATAGTTTACAGGAGGGATTAGACTGCCCTACAAGGTCACTGGACAGGTGGTTATCTCATCAACCCAGCTCTCAGTTAACATAAGTAAAAGAGGATCATGGGGGACCGATGGTCACCGATTAGGCATTGTTTGTTATAAAGAGGGCGCAATTAGCTACAAGTAGTGCAGTGGGCCTTTAATATATTCTAAGAAACTGTGGATACTCACAAGGAAGAAGTCGAAGTGGTGTCCCGGAAACATTGTGTTTCAAGGTGCTTCATCGGATTGCCACCAAAGGAGAATCTGCTCCGGAAGACAGAAGAGGTCAAAGTTCATATAAATAACGGAAGATAGGTACTTTGAGGCATGCTTCTTTTTTAGATTTCCTCAAGGTGATCCAATATATATTTGCTCCGGAGCCATAACAACATCGAAATGTATTGTTATTTTTTTTTCTCTTACCCTCAAGCGAGGTTTCTATTTCTATATTTTCAATACATATTTACATTAATAACTCAATGATTGAGTGAAACATAACAAAGGCTGAACATTAAAGTATATTCAACAGTTTTCCAGTTTAGTATTTCTGTCTTTGCTAACACATTCATATATTAAAATTAATTTTAGCAATGACTTGAATTAAAAAAAAAAAAGTATGTGGGTAATAAACGGAACCATTAACAATATTCGTAAAGTAACATTTATAAATTGCATATTGCGCATAATTTAAAAAAATATTCAGGAGAGAATATTATAGTGATAGGCCTAGAAATAATCATAAACTCATTCAAGCTTTGTCTTAAAACTCACCAGTCCAATATTACTACATTTCATCATGTCATTCATTTGTATTTCCTTAGTGTATATTTATACCAACTTATTTTTTTGATGCATTGTTTTACTCTTTGTAATCATATTGTTCATGTACTCTGTGTTGCAATTTACATCTAATTATAGTTCATATTTTTCACGTATACTCACAGCAGCTTAAGCACTTCTGCAATATGGATATGGCACTTTACAAATAGTCATCATTATCATTGTTATTACTATCAAATATACAGATACAATATACAATTTAATCAATCTCCAATGTACATAAAACAAATATGCAATGAGATTAGGAAAAATAATGGGACATCCACGGTGAGTCTACCCATTTCAGGAGGACACTGGAACGAACAAACGGGAAATGGTCTTATTTGGAAAATGAAATTGAATTAAAAAGGCTACACGCACTACTGATTTGGGGCAAGATGAAAGAGATAGTTATTTCCCCTACTCCCTTTCCCTTATCTCTTTTTCTTCCTTTTTGATTTTTTTCAACACCCGATTGGGGGCATGTGACAACCCACCCCTTCAACATGCCCAATGGAGCTACGTGTCGGTCTTCTCATCCTTTTCTTCTACTCCCTTTTCCTCCCTCTCTCTCTCTTTTCCTGCTCTTTCTTTCTTTCTTTCTTTTTAACAGTCTATTTTTTCATTGTTTGCCCCTATCTCCCTTTCACTTTCTCTTTTTGATTTCATTCAACATTTGATTGGGGGCATGTGTCAGTTCCCCCTCCCCCCCCCCCCACACACACGCCCCAAGTAGCTACGCCACAGTTTACAGTAAAATTACATCTATTACATACCTGCTTCTCACTCCTTCGAAGGCCCTTGTTTCTATCGTATAGATGTTATTGCCACTAAGAGAACTGGAACGAAAAGTTATCGAAATGTAGTTTGTAAATCAAAGGTATCATTTGCAACTTATCATGAATTCAATTTCAACTTTATTCCATAAACGCGAAGCAGATAAACAAATATTTATAAATACATAAATGAACAATAAAATGCGGCATTCCAGTCTTACACGGAAAAGAGAGAGATAAATAATTCTCGTCTTATTATAATAATTATATAATTGTACATCCGGCTGTATAGATATGTATTTAATTACAGCTATACTTGTAGAAAAACGTACTAAATACATGTACAACAGTTTACACGAGACACATTTCAATGTATAACTATATATATTTCCTTAATTGACCCTACCCCAAATGCGATGTCTGACAGTAGATGGCGGCCTTCCTCCCACACTGCGCATGTCAGCACATGCGCAGATACTGGGGAAGATGATGAGACATTGTTCTCTCTGGCTTCCATAGAGAATGTACATCAGTGTCAACTAATTCCTTATTGTACTTAACTAATGTTCAGGTTTCATGAAATCCCCTGATGATTTGATGAGATCTATGATTCTAAGTCGGCACCATCATAATCTGTTACTTATAGTTTATTGGTTCCGAAACTATAATTTCTAACGGATTTTCCAATTATCGACCCATTGTATTTGAATGGGAACCGGAAGTGCCTTTTCCAAATATACCCATGGCCGGTAATGCTGTCTATGGCCAAACACCGTAGTTGCGGTAGCAAGAATTATGATTACATTCCACAGTACTTTCCCAATGTACTCACATACTTGATGCCTCAATATTCCAGAATGCTCTAGTTTTCACTATCGTGATTCGGTTATTGCTTAATTGGCTGGATGTAAGACAAAAAAATATATCAATATTCATATAATTGAGTTTTTAAAAATTCAATTCAATCAAGGTTTATTAATGATTGAAAGCATGTAGCACTAATCATTTTACAAGAAAAGCAGCCGAAGCTGGATAAAATATGTTTACATCTATTATTGGCATGATAACATCTTAAAAAGATAAGAATATATTTTTGAAAACAAGCAGACATTACACTTTAATATAGCATTAAATGGTCGGCATGACGAGTGAAATACTTTCCATACTCTAATTTTATGATGTCATTCAATTACAACTATACACTGTCGCTCATATGGTTAGAATATTTTTTTTACCTCAATTTATTGAATTATTTTGACAATGATTTATTCCTAATAGATCTAGATAATAATATACATTCTCACATTTTATTGAATAATAATTTGCCAGTGTTTGTTTTGCGTGACTGCTAAAGCACGTGTGTGCTACTATGCTTACCAACTACAATTACACCTTCATAGAGATTATTCTAACTAGTTTAAATTCCAACCACATTAACATTTGCATCCTACAGGATTTCAAACTCAAATTAGATAAACTAAACTGAAACTGGAACTGATATTTGATTTGATTTTAAACTTACACGCTGCCCAACGTCTTGTTTACAAAGGTCCCACCCATCGGTATATCGTTGATCTCGTTGTTCTGAAGATTGAGATTACCGATGTATGTCACGTTCGCGAACGTTCCATCTTCAATGTAGGCTATCTCGTTGCTTTGGAGATTAAGTTGGGAGGTTAGAGGGCAGTCTTCGAAGTGAGTGACCAGGATACGACCGATCTTGTTATAGCTCAGATCCCTGGCCGATACAAAGGTTCAAATTTGATACAGAAAACTTTCACTGGTTGGGGGTAATTATAACATGTATTTTAAGCTTCAACCAACCTCAAAAATACACTTAGCTCTGGTAAAAAAGAAAATGAATTCTCACAGAATCAAACGAAATATACACTGAATGTTCAAGATTACAAATAAATGTCATTTGCGAAACAATTTTGGTAGCAAATAAATACTGGCTGAGTAATGAGCATAGAAAGATAAGGAAATCAAGGTAGTACTAGCCCCGACACCATGTGTGTTGTCTCATATATAGCTTTCTGTGTACAGTGCTTGTTACTTTACCAAGACTCGGCCAAATTTATTATGATTTTGATGACTCCAGAACCTTGCAGTGCACACCAATACTTACATGCTACATGATTAACTGTTTCTGATCAATTCCACACCTTTTCTTTTACAATGCAATCGCATTACCAGAACTGGAGTTTATCTTTAAGCTTCTACAAACCTTAGCATTTAGCTAGTAGGCAAGCTTCTGTCCACTCCTGTGGACTTTCTCAAGCCAAGTGATTATTCACACAGTTTCGTGCTGTCTGCTCCCTGGCCGATACAAAGGTTCAAATTTGATACAGAAAACTTTCATTGGTTGGGGTAATTATAACAAGTAGTTTAAGCTTCTACAGACCTTAACATTTAGCTAGTAGGCAAGCTTTTGTCCACTCCTGTGGACTTTCTCAAGCCAAGTGATTATTCACACAGTTTCGTGCTGTCTGCTGCCTCAAGATCACTGGAGCGAGGATAAGTGATATTGAATAGCCAGTGAAGGATTAATCATTTCCCTTAGATGGATTCGTTCGCCTTTCTTGTTGGTTCGAAGTTTTTTTTTTGCCTTACCTGACTGCTAAGAAAGCATGTGTATGATAATTGAAAGTAAGCAATCAGGTGACCAACGGCTTTAAATCCTCTCCCAGGGACTTGATAATGAGGATTAATGCCTTATCAAAGGTCACTAGCGCATCGACTTGGTTTTGGACCTGGGACCTCCAGGTTAAAAGACCACTGCTCTACCACTGAGCCATCGAACCTCCTCACTTCAAAGTTGAAAGTCTGTTTTAATCCATCACTTACTGAAAAGGTGCTTCATGTATTATAATCTGATTGGAAATATCACAATTCAGTGGTCAACAGGTCAACAGGTTAATATGTTAATAGGTTAACGTGTTAATTTACATTTATGTAAATCAATCATATTTAACTTTAAAATGGCTCCCATGAATACATGATGAATTCTAATTTTGGGCGTAGGGGGTTTATGGTCTTTAAATAAAAAACTTGGACAGTTAACTCAAACAAATGTCGATTATTTCTCTGCATCTTAACAAAGTTTTCTTTTCCTGGTTCAGACTACAGAAAACCACACATTTTGGATTATTTGAATTTTTATGCATTGTTGTGCATTTCCAACAAAACAAAGATGACAACCCGAATTCGAATAAGGTTCTGTGCAAGACCTTTAAATGTGTGGTTTACTGTTATTCTCTATGTTGTCATACTCCTAAATAATTATTTACCTATAGAATGCCGGGTAAAGTATTTCAAGCTTGATTTTATACAAGTTATACACACAATTTTGTTTTTCTTCGGTGATTAGTAAACTTTAACCTCCTGGAGTAGGTTTTGGTGCCCACTCAAAGAAAAAGTTCTATAATTTAATAAAATGGAACCATACAATTTTTTTTTTAAACCAGGGAAGCCTCATCAGCATCAAAGTTGTTCTTTGTGAGGGCCCTTCAGATCAGATCAATTGCCATGTACCCATTGAAATCTAGGTGGAGAGTGGCAAATGAAGTTCAATGTCTTGCCAAAGGATGTTAGAGCCGGGCTGGTATTCGAACCCGCAATTGTTGGATTGAGAGTCAAGTGAATGAACCATACTATACATTGACACCTTCATAGGTGTCGATCCATATCATAACAAGTGACTTACAGACTCGTGAGACTCGTGCACCCATCAAAGGCTGTCTCCGGTATCTTATCAATGTTGTTTGAAGGCAGAGAAAGGGTACCAAGCTGGGAATGGTTGGTAAACACGTTATCATGTAGGAAATGAAATTCATTGCTACTCATGGATCTGCAATAACAGAAAAGATACACGATAAGATTAGATTAGATTAGATTAGATTACATTGGTTCTTCAGTCTGTCTGTTTGGAGCCACAATGGCATTAGCTCATATAGTTTGAAACAGATTTAATTTTCCTCTAAAGTGTTTGGAGCCCCAAAAATTTGATGGCAAAATTTCACTTAAACTGTATCATAATGTGGAAGACGATTTCATTATTTTGAGATACAATTCTGCAAGGATTTTGAAAACAAATGCGTTTGAAGTCGGAAATTGATGAAAGAACTATGTATTGTTTTATCAATATTTGTCTTCAACACATTTTTTTATTTTTTTTTGGGGGGGGGGATTTTTTGGCAGAAGTGTGTCTTAGATGACATCCTCTTTCACATTATGATACAGTTTAAGTGAAATTTGCCCTCAAATTTTGACGAATTTGGGGCTCTCAACACTTTAGAGGGGCTTTAAACAAGATCCCCGGCTCTCAGCAAAAGATTTATCCTTATAATTCAGATCAATATTCAAGATGGCCCATTTTTCATTTGTAAAGATCTACAGTCTTCAACTATAAACTTTAATACAATCACAACGGACATATAATGTAAATATATCTTTAAATTTACAGAAATAAATAAAAAACATGAATCCATTGTAGATCAAATTTTGCACGGTTTAGGGTACTAGACATTTCTGACTATTTGGTGTGTCTCGAAAATAGTTATATACGTATGGGCTTTGCAACATACATGTACATACACTGATACACAAGTGAAGTATTGTTCTCAAGAGGGCAAACAAAAGGTATTCAAGTTCATCGCTTTGGCAGTTATTATTCCAAAATGCACAAAGTACTTGGGATAGTCTTCATGTTTAAAGGGTGATATTTGGGGGTCATTTGCCCCCAACTCAGTGTTATTTAGGGTACGCATATGCGTGTTCCCAGCACCACGCCCTTTTCAGCATAAGTCCGGTGTGTAAAGTCAATACGGGCACATCTTTTTCTTTCTTACGAGCCGGAGATTGTGGGAACACGCATGCGGTCCCTTTGTTCCCGGATTTTTTTATTTATTTATTTTTTTTAATTTTTTTTTTTTTTTTTTTGGGGGGGGGGGGGGGTTGGGATGGTAGTCATTTGTACCAAAACTGACGACAAACAGATCTATTGTAGGTGTTCGCTTTCAGGTCGTACTTACAAGGATTGTATGTTATCTGGGAAAGCACCATTCTCTATAGAGATAATGCTATTAGAGTTCAAAGTCAACGTGCTGAGCGTGGTCAGGTTGGAGAAAACACCGTCTAACAGGAATGTGATCTGATTGCTGGAGAGATACCTACAGAAAGAGAGAGTGGGAAAGAGAGAGAGAGAGAAAAAAACAAAACTAAATTATTAGTTATAATGATAACAATAATATTGATAGTCATGTATATCGCTCATGTCTGGCACATTCCTGGCGCTTCACATGTTATTACCTCGACTTTATTATGGCTGCCATTATGATGCTCAAGCAGTTGACGGAATTAAATCCTGCCAGGTAAGCCATTTACCTCACCTGGGTCGAATGTGGTAAATGTAGATTATAGGACATTTGTGACGGGACGAGACTATATACATTAAACATGTGATCTATAGTTTGGTGATATATCCAGTAGACCATGAAACATCCATTACAGATTACAATCCCAGTGAGCCTCATCGTTTTGTAGTAAGTGTTAGATATACATTGTACTCAGGCGCGTACGCAGGGGGGGGGGGGGGGGTTTCGGGGGTTAACCCCCCCCCCCCTTTGTTATTTTTATGTGTGTAAACCCCCTAAAAAATTCCTAACCCCCCCCCCCTTTGTTTTTTTTTTTTTTTTTTTTAATTATTAAAAAAAAAAAAAAAAAAAATCACCCCATGGCTGACCTAAGAAAGGTGACCTTACCCCCCCCCCCCAACGGAGCAAAATGTCAATTTTTCAAATTTTGAGACAAAAAAGAAAATGTCCTCTTACCCCCCCCCCCCCCCCCCCCGCTTAATCATCGGTCGGTTGAGTCGCTGCGATTTTTTTGAGACCAAAAAAAAAAAAAAAAGTGTCCGCTTACCCCCCCCCCCTCCCCCCTCCCCCCTCCCACTGAGCGACTTTTTTGGCGGCGCGATTTTCAAATTTTCCTGAGTCGTTGCGAAATTTTGGACCCGATTTTAAACCCCCCCCCCTTGAAAAAATCCTGCGTACGCCACTGATTGTACTTGTGACAAATGTTGGCTGTGGCTGCCCACTGTTTGTTCCATTTTCCGACGAAAGCAAATATAAAGTTAAAGGAATAAATTTTTGGTTAATATCATACAAATAATACATGTTTGCCAGTCAATACAACTTATGTACGAGCTAAAAAAACATGTATCATTTGTTTTATAAGATGGGTCTATAATATGAGTATAAAGGCGAGAAATTTACGGTTGTTATCACCAAAATTGACTCTCGTGCATACACATCATCCATTGGCTATACATTCCTGAACCCATTTTATAATAGCTTTTAATGTCGTAGACGAGTGGATATGTCTCTGGACTGAGGATCACAAGGTCACAAGTACTAATGTCCTTTGGCAAGACATTGATCTACATTTGCCACTCTCCACCCAGGTGTTAAGTGGGTACCCGGTAGGGTGCGAAAGCTAATGTGCTTAGATTAGCAAGTGTGCGCTTGTAAAAATGACGCCTGGCTGGAATGCTCCCCAGAGAGTGGAGAATGTACATACATTGTGTGCCGGTAGCCCTGAATCCGATGACCGGGGTAATAATATTTATATCTGTAAAGCGCTTTGAGAGGGCCTTCGGTCCTGAAAAGCGCTATATAAGAACTAGCTATTATTATTATTATCATACTTACAAAGTTGTTATAGACAAGAGTCTCTCCTGGTACTGCACAGCCTCTGGGACATGGTTGAAGTGGTTTGAATCAAGATTCCTGTCAGAAAAAATATAAATATAATAATAACAAATATATAAGATATTGATATTACTTGCTATTCACAGGCTTAATTGTAAAAAGTAATAGTATTATTATATAACCCAATCCTTGTAAACAACCTGTATTATCTAATTACCTAACATCTTTCAAAGAATGTCTGTTTGTAAGGTGGTCTTACACTTAGTCCCATAAAAGTATTTGGACATATTTTTCAATCTCCCTTTAAACTTTATACCACTTATAATACAACTTTGGTGGTATATGAATTGTTCATTGTGTCTAAGACCATAGACGTAATGCTAAGACTATGCAACAAAGAAGGAAATACAAATAAAAAAAGATTAATAAAAAAGAATCAAGACAGGTGAATGCTGTGTCAAAACAGTTTCAGATATCCCCTATAAACATGTATGGAATAGGGTCAATGTCGCTATTCATAAGGACCGCTATTCGTAAGGTCCGCTATTCATAAGGTCCATTATTCATAAGGACCGCTATTCATAAGGTCCGCTTTTCATAATTGGAGAAAAGGGTCATTATTCATAAGGGTCATTATTCATAAGGACCGCTATTCATAATCAAAGAAGAGGGTCGGTATTCATAATATTAGAAGAGGGTCGCTATTCATAATAGGAAAACGGGGTCGTTATTCATAAGGGTCCCTATTCATAATATTACAAAAGGGTCGGTATTCATAACACAGAAAGAGGGTCGCTATTCATAATACGAAATGAGGGTCGCTATTCATAATACAAAATGAGGGTCGCTATTCATAATGCAAAATGAGGGTCGTTATTCATAAGGGTTATTATTCATAAGGGTCATTATTCATAATAAGAAATGAGGGTCGCTATTCATAAAAGGAGAAGAGGGTCGCTATTCATAATAGAAGAAGAGGGTCGCTATTCATAATAGGAGAAGAGGGTCGCTATTCATAATAAGAAATGAGGGTCGCTATTCATAATAGAAGAAGAGGGTCGCTATTCATAATAGGAGAAGAGGGTCGCTATTCATAATAGAAGAAGAGGGTCGCTATTCATAATAGAAGAAGAGGGTCGCTATTCATAATAGAAGAAGAGGGTCGCTATTCATAATAGGAGTAGAGGGTCGCTATTCATAATAGAAGAAGAGGGTCGCTATTCATAATAGGAGTAGAGGGTCGCTATTCATAAAAAGAAATGAGGGTCGCTATTCATAATAGGAGAAGAGGATCGCTATTCATAATAGAAGAAGAGGGTCGCTATTCATAATAGGAGTAGAGGGTCGCTATTCATAATAAGAAATGAGGGTCGCTATTCATAATATGAGAAGAGGGTCGCTATTCATAAAAGGTGAAGAGGGTCGCTATTCATAATAGAAGAAGAGGTCGCTATTCATAATAGGAGTAGAGGGTCGCTATTCATAATAAGAAATAAGGGTCGCTATTCATAATATGAAATGAGGGTTGCCATTCATAATACGAAATGAGGGTTGCTATTCATAATAAGAAATGAGGGTCGCTATTCATAAGAGGAGTAGACGGTCGCTATTCATGATACGAAATGAGGTTCGCTATTCATAATACCCCCCCCCCTCGGCTACGTTCCTGGTCCTGTAGGGGGGGGGGGCGATATATAGCCCTGAATAGTTGTCTCTTTTTAAAGTAACTATATTTTATCTGTTATCTTTGATAATTATATAGAGCCAACCCCCGCTCATGTGGTGACGAAAAAAAAGTAAAACATAACACACATGTAATCCTATCGTAAATTTTCCTCCTTGTTGGAAATCTTGCCCCATCACCCTGCCCCCGACTGATCTTATCCAGGCTACGCCACTGAGATATTAAGTACGCCAAGCAGGCCCATTATCCATTTTAGCTTGCTATTTAAGAAACTAGTAATTGTTTATACGACAATAATGTTTTTGTAGAAAGTAATTTTTATTAGGACTTATGGACCTACAAATTACTGAGCGGAATTGGACCTGACAATTGGACCTAAGCCCAGTATCTACCGAGCCCCCGAGCCCCCCCCCCCATCAGTACGCCCCGGCGCGGATCCAGAATTTTCCAATTGGGAGGGGGGGGGGGGACGGAAATTTGAAAAATGCGCAGGCCGTTTTTTCAACTCAACATACCAATACTGACAAGGTCATATTAGAAGCACGATACGGGTACCTAGAAGCAGGAACAATTTTGGAAAGGGGTGCAAGCTCACTTCACGTCTCTTGTCCGATATCAACATTACCCGTTTTTAAGATATACATTTTTTTGACATTTTCATCTGGGAGGGGGGGGGGGGCTAAAGCCTCTTGCCCGATTATTTTCTAGTTCACAATTCTGCTTGTGAGCGAAACGAGCGAGCAAAAATTTGAGCATTATATGTTTTTTGTGAAAGTGTTATTTATCACCAAGATAAACGAGAAAAGATATCAAAAATTCATATTCGGGCAGCTTGCTGTCCCCCCCCCCCCTCCCCTCCCCCACCCATTACGCGCGAAAGCTTTGAACTTTCATTAATTATTAGAAAAAGAAGACGATTTGTTGTACCGTTCTCGACTCTTAATAATTGTCTGAATTCTATTCCCCCCTCTTGCGCAAAGCGCGTAAGCTTTGACCTTTCATTGTTTAATGCAATTATTAGAGAAAGAAGATGATTCGTTGTTCCATTCTCGACTCTTAATCCTTGTCTGAATTCAGTTTCCCCCCTCCCGCGCAAAACGTGGAAGCTTTGATGTTTCATTAAATTATTAGAGAAAGAAGAGGATTTGAAGAGAAATGAATATATGATATGAATAGCGACCCCTTACTCCTATTATGAATAGCGACCCTCATTTCATATTATGAATAGCGACCCTCTTCTCCTATTATGAATAGCGACCCTCTTCTCCTATTATGTATAGCGACCATCTACTCCTATTATGAATAGCGACCCTCTTTTCCTATTATGAATAGCGACCCTCTTCTTCTATTATGAATAGTGACCCTCTTCTCCTATTATGAATAGCGACCCTCATTTCCTATTATGAATAGCGACCCTCTTCTCCTATTATGAATAGCGACCCTCTTCTCCTATTATGAATAGTGACCCTCTTCTTCTATTATGATTAGCGACCCTCATTTCCTATTATGAATAGCGACCCTCTTCTCCTTTTATGAATAGCGACCCTCTTCTCCTATTATGAATAGCAACCCTCTTCTCCTATTATGAATAGCGACCCTCATTTCCTATTATGAAAAGCGACCCTCTTCTCCTATTATGAATAGCGACCCTCTTCTCCTATTATGAATAGCGAACCTCATTTCGTATTATGAATAGCGACCCTCATTTCCTATTATGAATAGCGACCCTCTTCCCGTGTTATGAATAGCGACCCTTATAAGTAATGAACCTTATTTCGTATTATGAATAGCGACCCTCTCGTCGTATTATGAATAGCGACCCTGATTTCATATTATGAATAGCGGTCCTTATGATTAATGACCCTTAATATGAATTATGAATAGCGACCCTCATCTCACGTTATGAATAGCGGTCCTTATGATTAACGAACCTTATTTCATTATGAATAGTGACCCTCTTTTGCCATTATGAATAGCGGACCCGGAAGTACGGGAATTTACACGTTATGAATAGCGGTCCTTATGAATAGCGGACCTTATGAATAGCGGTCCTTATGAATAGCGAATAGACCCCATGGAATACACATTTCCATTGGCCATGCATGGGACAATACATGTTACAGGACTATTCCATTCCATAAAGGGGGTGTCTTGTACTTACAAAGTGTGAAGTTGTTCGAGGCAGTCAAACGTGTGTGGATCCAATGTAGTTTCATCCAAGCTGTTGGACTGTAGTTCTAGAAGAGTAATACGTTGCATTCCGCATAAGTCCCCTTCATTTAATCCGTTGATGGCATTACTGCTTAGGTATCTGTTATGGACAAATAGAAAAGGAAACAAGAGGGTTTTCTCATATTATACATGTTTTTTTGTGCAGAAACAAAGGGGAAATAAAATATGTCCTTGGCCCTGTCTTATAAAGAGTTGCAATTGATCATAATCAAACGTAAGCCTTCTTGTGGGCTCGCATGGGGAATTCAACACCATTTAGGTGTTAATCTACTAGCAGGTGTTGTCAGTTACCAGGATTAGCCTTACGTTTTTATGACTAACAGGCTTTATGCAATGCTGTCTTTTCCCAATATGGTAGAGTCCTTATCTGACATTTTTCATCACCCCTAGGCTCTTGAATACCCAACGGGTTTCCTGTGTGCAGACTTGTACATCCATCAATGGTATTTCCCGAAAGTCTGGTGTCAACGAGAAATGACCTTCTGCATATGAATACTGATGACCCACTCCCTTTAACATCCCCCTGGGCCTGGTATCATATAATGTGTTATCAATACCAATCAAATGGCACGATTTCAGTAGCTGATAACAGTCATTGCCCTCATAAAACAGAAACATGCTCAGCATGGTAAAACCATGGTACTCTATGGTACCCGGGGTACTCGTCTCCTATACCATGCAAAAACCATTGTATTACCATGGTTTTAAAACAAAAGCCATGGTAACCATGGTACTTCCGACTTTGAACATGATACCTTGAGGTACTTGGCAGTTGTATGGTTCAATACCATGTTTGTATGGTTCTAATCATGGAAAGGCAGATGTGTACGTGCAGTATTGTAGTGCAAGTACCATGGTAACCTAGGTACGGGAGAACCATGGTATCAAAAGGTAAGGGAGAACAATGGTAACCAGGGTTTTTATGGTGGATGGTAATTTGGACAGATAACTATGGTAACCATGTTACTGAGAACCATGGTAATACCATGTTGCTTTTAAAGGGTGTAACTTGTTTGATGTTTTGTGGAACAGGGTCCTGCCTCTGAACGACTGTGTGGATACTTACAATTCATCAACATTAGGCAAGGTGCTGAACGGAACGTGGGAAGCCTTTAGTCTCAAGTAAATCTCATACGTTCCCCCGTCATAGGCATCATCAGAATACAAGGTCATGTTCGTGAAGAGGTTACGATCAGCATGCCTAAAAAGAAGGAAATCCCCCCTTTTCAGGTAAATGGAATGGTCTAGGACGCGTATCAGGAAATATATATAAATGATAAATAAGGATTACTCCATTTAACCTAGAGGGGTAAGGATTCATCAGAATACAAGGTGATGTTCGTCAATAGGTTACTATCTGCATGCCTGTAAAGAAAGAAGTTCCCCCTGCATAGGTGAATGGAATGGTGAATAAGGATTACTCCATATAACCTAGAGGGAGAGGGGTTCCCTGTGAGATATGTCAGATTAAAACAATTGAAGTTGTGATATTCATATTTTACACTAATAATAATAGTAATGTTAGTAATACTATAAGCACTTTGGTCAGTTAATCGGATAGCGGAAAGAGCTACATAATTACACTGAACATGATCACAAAGACATTTAAGAAACAATTGTATGGACAATATCAACTACCTATTGAAATCATGTTGACATTATGTATTATATTCCACATACTAAGAATCTTGCTCTACGAGTAGTCAAAAGTAAATCACGTGATGAAAGATAGTTCGCCCATCATTGATGGGAGAAAAAAAGTTAGTTACACTGTGTAGATAGTACTACTATCTTCATTGAAAGTGCGTTTCAGAAAGATAACTACACTGTCGCTCATAAAGTTGGAATATTTTTGTTTTACCCCAATTCATGGAATTATTTTACAAATAATTAAAAAAAGAATACATCTAGATAATAATATACATTCTCAGATTTTATTGAATAATAATTTGACAATGTGTGTTTTGCTTGACTGCTAGAGCATGTGTATGCTAATATGCTTATCAAATAAGGGACCTACGCCTTTAAGTCATAAATGACAGTAATGAGGATTAATGCCCCACAAAAGGGCACTAATATAGCACATCGACACGGTTTTGATCCTGGGGCCTCACAGTTACAAGGCCCTTGCTTTGTCACTGAACCATGACTGTACGCAGCGGGGGCTAGGGTAGGGGGCAGGTTCCATAAATAAAATAAAACACAGAAAATGCAATAAATTTTCAACAATTTATTGGATTTTACCCCGGTCCCCAACATAAACAAATCCTCCGGATGGCCATGCATTATGGCTCAAGGCGATTCTTTTGGGACTCTTAAAAAAAGTGTACGCTTACCCCCACCCCCCCCCCGCTTATTCAGCGGCTGGCTGAGTCGTTGCGAAATTTTGGGCCCGATTTGAAAACCCTCCCCTTGAAAAAATCCTGCGTACGCCACTGTATGTCACATCTAGGCGTTGTGGCGTGCGCCTGTAATCCAGCTAACAGTTGAAGTTACACACTGATTCAGGCGAGGACGTAGGTTCGAAACTGAGTCACGTCTGTCGGATGGTGACGTTAAAAGTTTGGTCCCCAGACGTAAATAATCATATCTGATTGATACACGTCTGTAAAAACCCAATATACACACACACACATACACACACACATCCCTTGGAGGTACTCACAGATACAGGAGACTTTCATACACCTCCCTAGAGAGGGCAGCATGCGGAAAGTGGGCCAGGCGGTTGTCACTGATGAACCTATATCAAAGCAATGAGATTAATGTGTATAAAGAGATTGTTATGTATATTTGTGTAAAGTTAAGTATTATACCATCAACTAATGAGGAGAGCCTCCAACAGAAACTTAGTTTATTTTGGTAATCTCCAGGCATTAGTTACATTTTTGAACAAATATTATTGTAACTGCTATTAAACTTCATTTTCTTGTAATCTTTGATATAATTGTTATACTCCTTTATGTTTCTGGAAATGAAATAAAACAGATAAAATAATACATCAATACATTAATGTTTTCAGCATTATGATGAAAACAAAGGATCTTTTGTTTACTCTATTGCCCATAAAATACATAACGAAATATAGTACACAGATAATGTTTTTATCTTGACGTGGAAATAGATAATCGAAAATAAATGAAATGAAATAAGTAATAAAGAAGAAGAAAATGCTGATATTCTTAGGAAGTACATACAGTCTTTCCAGGTTGCCGTTGATCCCTTGAAATGCATCGTGGGCGATGGTGGTCATCTCAAAGCCAGACTTTTGAGAATGAAGACGTCTTAGGAATATACAAAATACAAAATAATGAATGATTGAGTGAATGAATGAATGACTAAGTGCAGAGTGAATAATGGATGAATGAATAAATGAACGAATATTGAATGAATGAGAGAATAGATGAATGGATAAATGAACGAATGAATGAACTGATGAATGAATGAATGGATCGATGAATGAATAAATTAATAAGTAAATGGTTGATAAATAAACAAAGAGAGAAAGAAAGGACATACATAAACCAAGAATTAAATCATGTTTTTAGGCCAAAAACAATAATGAATATATAATCTAGACCCTGCTACCCGTCTATGGGGATTTCCTGTTTTTCTCCTCTGGTTCTAAGCAATTTTCCTACAAAATATATCAAGAAACTGAATAAAACAATAAAGAAACCTTTAACATTTAAGTATGACATTGGTTGAAAGAAATAAACCTGTTGAATAGTAATCTTTTGATAACCCAGGTTGAAGTTTTTGGAAAAGCATGTTATACCACTATCAATCAAATCCAACCAGAAACTAGCTCAGTTCAAGGCATATCAGCAGCGAAGGAACTTAGAAAAAGTCTAATTATGGAAAAGCATGTTATACCACAATTAATCATATCAAACCAGGGCCATCTTATTAAGGGTCGCAAGTTTGCTGTCCCCTATCTCTTACATACATAGTTGCGATTGATATCAATCACCAACAAGTTGCGATTAATCGTAAATGTTTATAAGTCAGGGCAAAGATAAAGGCTAAGTTTAAGGCACAACGGTAGTGAAGCAACTGACAAGGAATTTAATCACAGACTGGAATATTTCTTCACAATATTACAATAAATTGTGATTATACTTACAGTGTTCTCAGGGACGGCAAGTTGGTGAATGAGTTACTTCCCAGAGATGCGAGCTGATTGTTGTTCAAATCACTGAGAACGAGATGGATACAAGGAAGGAATAAATAAAGCATTGTTCGGATATATGACACGGCAAAACCGCCAAGACTGACCAAGCTGTGAAGGTACCTCTAGACCAAGTTACATCTCCCTACTAGTGAACCGGTCTTTTGCATTTTTTCCACTGATGAGCAATTGTGATTCACACACTTGTACAGTTTCAGTGATTACAAACGAAAGGAACAGTCTTACTTACATATGGAGTAGGTACGCCATATCATCAAACATCTTTGGCTTGATAAAGGACAAGGAGTTCCGATGGAGCTCTCTAAAAAAACAACAAACAAAATGAATTTGAAGATTAAAAAGACTGTTTTTACAAATCAATATCAATTATTTAAAAAAACAAACAAAAGACAATTGGATTAGAGTCTTCAGCCCAACCCGGCATTATTGAAAATGGTACATACTATCTTTTAACAGTATTTTACAGATGAATTATACATAGTAATAATATGCATCTAGTATCTACGTCGAAAGTACACGAAAAATTATACATGTTTCATTGTTTGTGTCCGTCTCGCGTACCCCTTTGCGTCCATTGGTGTATAGTTACGTAGGCCAGCGTAGGGCAGCGTACGATCGGCGCTGTCAGTACGCAGCACTACGTAACTCTACGTATGGCCCGGTGTGAAGGTTTTTTTGTTTACCTATGCAGCGGCAGGCGCATATTTTTTTTTACACAACTGTTTAGCCACTTCAGTCAAATATACTGTGCAAACGACTAGAGACAGAGTCTAGCATTACCCTTAGCAGTGTTACACAGTATACATACTCGTTATTTGTTTCGGGTTGAATCTATCCTCTCTACTCTTTCATTAGTTCTCCTTAAATCTATCCTCTTCTCTTTTGTCATGTATTTCTTTTTTTCTTTAATCTATCCTTTTTCTCCTTCGTTATATATTTCTTTGTTTTTCCACAATCTATCCCCCAGTTCTCCTTCGTTATGTATTTCTTTTGTTCTCCTTCATTCTAACCTCTTCTATTTTGTTTTATGTATTTCTTTGTTTCTCCTTCAATCTATCCTTTTCTCCTTCGTCATCTATTTCTTTGTTTTAATCTAATAGATTTCCTTTCTCCTTCTGTATGTATTTCCCTGTTTTCCCTTAGTGTATGATCCTCTTAGCTCTTCAATTATGTATTTCTATGTTCTTCCTTTGACTTATCCTCTTCTCTTTCCTTATGTATTCCCTTGTTTTGCCTTCTCCACATCCTCTCCACTATCCTTGTTTTTCCATTTCTATCATTCTCCCTTTCCTGGATGTACGTGCTTGCACATATAGTGCGCTGACGACTTAGACTCTTTCACCAGAGCACTTCTTGGAATTTTTTCGCGAAAATGGCTAAACAGTTGTGTAAAAAAAATATGCGTCAGCGGCAGGGTAACTGGCAATACGCGGAAAATCTGTACAGACAAAGCAAATACAAATTCGCTGCTAGATCGTTTAGCCGTTCTACGCACGCAATACGCAAACTCTCAAACCACGGCACATGATAACACAAGCCAGATTTGGCTTTAAAGAAATAGTATTTTAAAAAATGTATTTAGTCATTCAGAATTTTCAAAAATTCAGAATATTCTGATTTTTTAGGTCCTCAAATATCAGAAAATGATAATATTTTGATTAAAAACAGTTGGCAGGTATGCAGATAAGCTGTTTCATATCAGAACGAGCCGTAAGGAAGACTTACAAGATCTTAAGCTGCTTGAGTTGAGTAAGAGCCCTTGGAGCAAGATATGTGATGAAATTGTTACTCAGGTTCCTATGTCAAGAAAACAATGATGAAAACAATTTCAGGAATCACAGTTTATATATCAGCAATGAACGCTTAACATCACCCAATAACTTTGATGGCTATTTTTGATATACGTGTAATAACATCATCAATAAGTATAAAACAAGAAATTCCAATAAAATGTATTTACCTTTTTATCATGTCAGCTTGTCGAGAACCGCAGTAAGTTTTGAAATGACCTGCCAGATGAACTCAAACAAATCTCAACCGATCTTGCATTCCGAAAAAATATAAATCTTATTTTGTTTAATAATGAGTAGTTTTAATCTATCTAATTGCCTTTTATGTGATTTATGTGATTAGTTATGTTGTGTTTTATGTGATTATGCTATGTTATATTATCTTTTTTTTTTAAATATTGATTTATCTTGAAGTGAGGTAATATAGGGGATTAGCCTTGAAAAGCAAATGTTGATCCATAGCATCCACCACCCTTCATCCTACTTTAAAGTGCCATGTACATAAATGTTGTTATACTTGGCCTATATTGTTTAATTTATACTGATTTGTTTGAATATCTTCTAATGTATTTTTAAAAAGATGTGATATAAAATTTAATTGAATTGAATTGAAAATAGGAAAAAGAAGAAGTGAATAGAGATGAAGAGAAATGAGAGAGAGAAAGATGAGAGAGAGAAAGATGAGAGAGACATAAGAAGTTAAAATCTTAGGAAAATGAGAGGTCTGAGAAAGAAGAATTTAAATTCTATTTTTCTTATCACAGAGATTTCTCTAAAAAGAATGAAGAAAAAGAATCCAACTTACAGATGTATGAGAGGACTATCTTTGAAGACCGCAAGGTTCCGCTTGGAGACTGAAGTGATTAGATTGTCATCTAGAGACAGGAACGTGAGGTTGAACATACTCTTCAGAGAGTCCGATGGGAACGATAACATCTTATTCATACTCAGTCCTCTGAAAACAAACAAATCATAATAATTATCAAAGTGATCTTTGCTAGGCCACGAAAAAAGATTCTTTGGCTCCTAAGTTATAAAGCATTTTATATTCAGTAAACTGGATGGACAGAATGAAATATACATTTACTATTCGATATTAGATAGCTCTTACAGATACGAAGTTGTGATTGGTCCTTAGCTTGTCACATGATATCGACTGTGAGGATCGTAATTAGCATATTTTACTGCCGGTCTTTTTTAATGTGATATTGAGCTCCCGGCCAAATGCGTATATATTTTACCGTCACGCTGTATCCAAACAACCATGAATGCAGTAGCACGTACTCGCTGTTTGCATGTGTTAAGCCGCGCGCATTTGAAATGGAAGACTAGACGGCTTTTTTTTATAAGGCATGAGATCACAATTACCCTTAATGCTTTTAGCACTGGCAAAATTGGGCTAGCCCCACCTAAAGTACGGGGGTTATTTGGCCCTGCAAAAAAAGTTTATCTTATCCCGGGTAGGCGCTTAGTACGGGACTAAGCAAAGTATGGGGCTAATAGCAAAACAAGTGTGAAAAGTAGGCTATATTAATTCATAAAACAAAGTGTAATAAAGGCTATTAAATTTAACTTAATAACATAATGTTTGGACAGCAAGAGAGTAATGTTTTTCAGTTGTGCGCTAATTTGTTAAAATATAATTATAAATTCCTTCAGCGGTCAAAAAACTGTAATAATTACACACTCTACCAGTTTATGTCTGTATATTATTACGTGTTTGTCATCAATTGTCCCTGGGAAGTATGCACATAATACACAGATGTGAGTGCGTTATGGTCGATGAATCGCATAAGGGTATTCACTATGGTGCAATAAAATTCATGACACGTAGCCAAGTGAATTGTGTGCTATTGTGAATACCTGAATAGCGCTGAATCGCCGTAACGTCACAAACGAAAACCTATGTATTATTAATTTTGTTTCATAAAATGGGTTGACTTAGCAAGGCCATACGATGTCTCCAACGACGTTCATCCACGGTTGTTATCACCAAAATGCACCCCATGCAGATGGTAGCATGCAGATAGTAAACAATAATGCACGGTCACGTGATCCATTTTGATGCTTTTCATTGGCTACATTCTTGAACCCATTTCAGAAAGTCACATATCGACACTTTCAAACAATGATATACTCACAAATATTCAATGTTTGTTCCCGAGAAAAGACCTGGAGGAACCCATTCTATCTTGTTCTCCATTACACTCCTAAAGGATAGGTCAGATAAAGAAGAGTAATGGAAAGAAAGATGAGGAAAAAGCATATAAGAGGGACAAAAGAGAGAAATGCATAGAGAAATGATGACAAGAGATTTAAGTATTGTATTGTAAGGTTGGTCTTAAAGGTATTACAAAGTTTTGGTAAATTTTGAAAATTGGCTGGATAGTGATTCTTTACAATTTTGATATATTTGGATGCCCCTATGGATGTATTATAAGCTCTTAAAAATTTAACATCTAAAACTCTTCAGCTTTCGAGAAAAATTGAATATTAAAATTTACCGGTGCTCCTGGTAAATTTTGATGGCCAGACGATGGTAGCTGCGACCATAAAAATCTCAGAATATGCAGATCTGATATATATATTCCAAACGGCAATAGCAAATCGGTCGATTTTAGTCAAATAACATTGTTTTATAGCTAAATGAATATCTTGACCTTGAGAGGGCGCTATACAACATGAAGAGTTTATTATTTACAAGTCCATAACTTTAGACTCGACTTCAACCGCGAAAACGATCTCTGGATATTGTAGGATTGCATATGCTTCCAATGTGTTCATTAGAACCAAATTCATTACCCCATACCAACACTTTGTATTACCTTTAATAAGGGGGACGCTCAGGATAAGAAGATGAGAAAGGGAGTGTCATCATAGTGCAAAAGTCAGCTTCCCCTTGGAAGTGGGAAAATGCTGACTTTAATAAATGACGATGATGATGATAAATTGTGAATATCATTTACGCGTATCTATCAGTAATTATTTCTTTAATTGACACTTTTTATTTTACAATTTAAATTTATAGCCCCGAAAGGCTCAATTAACAACCTTCCTTGTTATTTAAAAAAGATCCTTTATTCCATCTATATAACTCAACAGGTGACGACCATTCTATTTTTCCTTTCTTCAAATTTGCACTTCGTTTGCAAAGTACTCTTTAAACAGAAATCAATCTAGCAAGAAATATGCAGGACCTTTTTGGAAACAAAATATCAGGAGCTTCAGAGATATCAAAACGTACTGTTTCTATTTTTGTCACGAGGGATATAAATAATGTTTTCATGGACATCGATTCGTGGACATTTCATGCCGCTAACAAGGCGGCCAGCTTGAATTCGGGAAAGTTTCAGGTTGCGCTGGTTTTATGTTTTGAAATGTTCATGTTGCGAAATGTTCGTGTTGAAAGGTTTCATGTTGCAAAATGTTTATGTTGCAAAGGTTTCATGTTGCGAAGGTTTCATGTTGCGAAATTTCCTGGTTTATAGTTTACTTACACTTGCTTTAGAGAAGCTGGAAACGTGAGTGTTGAATAAGTATAGACATCAAAGTGAATGCTATTCCTCGTCACATCTCTGTAATGTAACAATAAACATAATCAAGTCAGTGTCATTAGGTCAGCAAATTCACGTACTTTTCAATGAATATCGAACACGTTGCGGTGGAGATAAACAAACCCATATTCATATCACTGATGCATAATTTTTTCAGTATTCTCTACTAGCTCTCCCTAATTCCTTTTGTCAGTCTTTTCTTTCACTACCCTTTCATATTCCTTCCACCAGCCGTGGTTCTTTCTTTATACAACCTCTTGCTGTTACTTGGCATCTTTCAAGTACGAGGGCATATGTGAAGAGCCATTCTTTTCAGGAGACATTCGTTCTATGATTCGCGAAGCTCACAAATCCCTCCGACACGTCTTTATATTGATTCATCGGGTCATCGCGTCTAGTCGTGTGGTTGCATTACACGACCTTTCTTGAAACTAAAGCGAAAGATGACGCTACCTCTCCAAAATTTGCTCTTGGGTTTTCACAAAGTGTTGGGTAAATTTGACTAGAACTTCTGTGAATGAGAGGGGTTTATTTCACACACATAACCCTCAACGTTTCATTTATAAAGGGGCATGTTTTCCCAATGTGACCACTTGACCAAATGCGATGACCCTATGATTTAAAGTAATTAAGCCCTTTAAGGCCCGGTCACACAGAGGGGACGCATGGGGGACGCACGGCCGGCGCATGGAAAATTTGCAATTTTGGCCAGTGCGTTGTCGTGCGCCCAACTTTTGTCGAAGCTATACAGCTAGCTGACACCAAATGCATAGCGCGCTGGACGCATACAGGGCTTATACAGGGCGCACACAGGGCGCACACAGAGCGCACATGAAAACAACTTCCACGAATGCACAGCGTGTTGCTAGCGCGCTGGACGAATGGTCCACGCATGCACCGCGTTCTACGACGCACGGCCAGCGCATTGGAAATCGGAAAAGAACGTGTGCCTAACTTTTGTCATAATTTTGGAAAAGCTAGCGAGCTGACACAAAATGCACGGCGTGTAGCTAGCGCGCTGTGCGTATACAAGGGCGTGTGCTCCGCGTTTGTCTGGCGCTGGTCTAGCGCGCTCCACGCATGTCTGGCGCTGGTCTACCTGTGTGACCGGGCCTTTACTTACAGTTTCTCCAGGCTGGTACACATTGACACATCAGGAAACGTCGTGATGGGAGTATTGTGCAAGGTGCTGGAACAAAACAGGAAGTAGAAAAAGGAAAGCTTGAATACCAAGAAACGCAAACAAAAAATTCATGAAACATGTGATTTTTCTCATATTCCTCTGTAGGGCCATGCAATATGGTTTAAGGCATGTCCACATAGAAGATATTTTTTATGTTGGGGGTCGGGGCAAAATGCAATGAATTATTGATCATTTCGTCCCTATTTTCACGAAGTGACGGTAGTGAATGAAAATCGCATACAATTTGCATGCATATTTTCCTCACTACCGTCACTTCGTGAAAACAGAAACGATTTATTGCATTTTCTTTGTTTTTTGTATTTGTTGGGGCGGCGACGTTCCCTAGCCCCCGCTGCGTACAGTCATGATTCATTGGCTAAGCAATGCCCTCGTTAGTGTGAGCCTCCAGGATCGAAACCGTCTCGATGTGCTATATTAGTGCCCTTTTGTGAGGCATTAATCCTCATTACTGTCAGTTATGACTTAAGGACGTAGGTCCCCTAGTTGATTAGCATAGTAGCATACACATGCTTTAGCAGTCACGCAAAACAAACACTCATAAATTATCATTCAATAAAATCTGAGAATGTATACTATTATCTAGATCTATTAGTAATAAAACATTGTCAAAATCATTCCATAAATTGGGGTAAAAATAATTATTCCACCAGTATGACCAACAGTGTAGTTCCCCATATTCTGTGTATGATTTATTTGTCTTATTATTGATTGTATTCATTGTTTTGTTTTACTTACAGTGATGTTAACTTGGTGAGATTGCGGAAGGTATCAGCAGCAACTCTCTGTAAAGTTCCGCCAATGATAGTACTGGATGACAAATATAAATCAATGTGAAATCATTACTTTGATAGTAAGCACTGGTAATTCTCTCTCACTATGAACATGATGGACAAAGAAAGACGACACAATATACAGTTCTCCATTCTACCCTCAATAATTGCTGTGGTAGACAAAGGAACATCCCTTCACTGCTATTATGTAAAAATGTGTAGAACAGGTGAATATGCATGTATTTTGTATTTTTGTATTTATTAACATTTATTTCCTTCTCAACAGAACAATATAAAACACAATGTATATATACATGATATATGTAACAATTATTTCAACATAGAGTATACAGTAAATCATTCAGATACAGATGTGACATATTTATATATTTTGTCCTCTTTCTTTGT